GACGCAGCCGGGGGGGCCGGGCGGTGGGGAAGCCACAAAGGTTGTCCCCCAGGGAGCCTGGGAAATGCCCCTTTGCATCTGCAGGGTTTGAGCCCCCTCGCCCCTACAGAGAGCCCAACCCGTGCCCGTGTCAGGCTGCCCGTGGGAGCAGCAAGGGGCCGGGACGCAGCCTGGAGTGGGGCTTGCACCCCGCTGCAGTGCCCGGCTGGCCGGGGGCACCCGGCGGGCGGCTTGTCCCTGCTCCGGCGCCAGGGAGGGAGAGCAGCTCGGCTGGGATCCCGTGGGACAATAGCAGGGTGGTGCCGCTGGGTGCTGTGACCTGTGCGGTTTGCACAGGGAGATTGAAACGTGGCTGCGAGCAAGCGGAGGCTCGGGTAGGCAAGGGGAGCTGCTTTGGGCAGGGTGTGGGGGTACCTGGTGCCGAGGGAGCAGCCCCGGCACTGCCAGCACCCATGTCCCCTCCTGGGACGGGGAGTGGGTCCGTGTGGCCCCCAGCTCACCCCATCTCCTGCGGGTCCTCACTGGCAGTGATGCCATGTGGCTCTGGAGGTGACCCAACTCAGCGGAGCCGGGAGCGCTGCAGGTGGCACCTGGCCGGCAGCCGTCCCCGAGCCGGCAGTGACGTCCTGTGGGACGTGCTCACCCTCGCCTCTCCCTTTGCAGCTGGGTGCTGACCTCCCGGGGGCCTTCTCCTCACTGGGACCGGGGCCAGGACAAGCTTTTGGCGAGATGTTCTCACCGCTGGGCTGCAGGAGGAGCTTCCCCAGGGAGGTAAGTGGTTTTGCGACCCTCGTGCTGCCACGCAGCTGGAGCTGCCAGTGTGGTTGGGAGTGGAGGAGCTTTGCGGGGCAAGGATGGGTGCCCGCTGCTCCATCGCTCGGGATGCCAAGGAGCCAGGAGAGCATCTCCGCAGTATGGGGAGGAATTGGGAATCGTCTGGGACCTTGGCCGGGAGAGGAGGGCGGACGGGCTCCTGGCTCCCTGTGCTGGCTCAGCATCCAGCCGGTGCAAGGGCGAAGGTGAGGGTCTCATCCTGCTTTCATCTCCCTGTGCCCTCTCTGCAGCCCGGTCCGTGGCAGGCTGGACCACCGCCGCCCTGTGCTCACCGCCCCCCCGCCGCCCTGCGCTCACGGCCCCCAGGACGTCTGGGATGAGCCGCCCTGGGAGCACCAGCACGGGAGAGGCAGGGGCGGATGGCGCCCGGTAAGGGGGCAGGGGCTGGGGCGAGCAGCCGTGCAGCGAGGGGAGGCGGCGCTGTCAGGGTTCACCTACAAATCCAGGGTGGCCAAAACTGGGGGCTCCCCTAGGAGCAGGAGGAGCAGAAAGAGCTGAGGGCTGTGGCAGGGAGGGGGAAACGCAGCAAAACCGAAACACCCCAGCGAGCTGCCATCCTCACCGGCGGTGATTTGCTATTGCAGCCCAGTCCCTGGGACCCCAGACCCTTCCCTGGCCCTGCCGACTTCCATGGGAATGAGG